ATCATTCCTGACCATTAGCAATGATGATTGGGGCTGCTGGGAATCAGAGAGTAACAACATCTAGAATGACCACAGGTCCTCATTTCCTGCCTTCAGAGTCTTCCTATTCCACCTAAAGGTATTGCCGTAAATTATTCAGCAATGCTAAGTTTATTCTTATGTGAAGATGACTCACCAATCAATGCTGTTCTGCAGGGTAACTTTGTTTACTTTTAAATTCTAATTCATTTATCACAGACTGTACTTTTACGGTCCATTACAATTAAACTCCAAATTTACACACACATGTGTGTGTAGTGGGTTCTGGCCCAGAAACATTAAATCACTATAAAAAAAATTTAAGTCTTATCATTCAACTGCATTTTTCTGGCAATTTACTCTGTAATTCCAAGATGGTGAAAATGGTATTGTTCCCCACCACCACCACCACTACTTTTCCTTTTCATTAATCAACAAGATTTTAGGAATAATGAACCATTCTTCCTGGATAATGGAGATTTAAAATGCCCCCAAACAGTGTGGGCTACATCAAGGAATTCCTGTTTGTCCTTACTCTGCCAAGGCAATTCTCCTGACCTAGAATTTGTGGTGGCAAATCAAAGGCATACTGGCATCATGTAGTGAAAGAATCCAACGTGGCAGCATCTTTTTTCAAGAAACAGCAGCAATCCTGGTGCAAATCAGGAATCACTCCTATGAAGTCACCATTTCTTTAAACACTCCCTATTTGTAGCTATGATTCTCTTTCCTTATCTGTGTTAATTGTGCAATGCATCAATATGATGGACTCATTTGGGACTTGGGACTTAATTTTCCTCTTTATTATTCTTCCCAAATAAAGGACAATGAAAGATGAACAAATGGGAGGGACTCAGATTTGCGATAGTAAAATTAGTGATTTAAGAAAAATGTTTCTGCACAATTTAATTATTGCCCTCTGATTCAAAGTTCTTTTATCTGGTTTCAAATACAGCTAGAGTGCATGCCTCATTCGCTGTACAATAAAACTATAATATAGAGCTCTTGACAGATTCCATCTATCTATTTAGGTGGTACTACTGCTGAAAAATATCAGCTAAAATACGTAATTCAAGCAGTATTCTGGCACTGAAGTATCAGCTAATCAGTCTTTAAGGCTATGATGCTCAAAATCTTGAAGAATGAGCAAACATCTCTTTATCAAAAGAGAATGAATTATCACTGTGGTTTTGGTAAGTCACAGGAACTTGGCTTATCTCAGAAGACTGGTTATTATTAATAGGCAGTTCCCAAAGCTCCTTAGCTCTATATGGTCTCTGCCTGAATTTAATGAAGACAGGTCAGATATTTTTCACACTTCTTTTCACCCACAGCATCTCTAACAGGATTTCTATGTATTTGGTAGTTAATTATATCAGGGACCACACCAAGCACACTAATCCTTCTTCTGTCTCTTTAAGCAGTTAGACATGCTTGATCAAGGTATTTTTCATTTATACAGCTCCCAGCAATGCCATCAACATTGTCAAACTTTGTCAAACATTGTTAAAATAGCCAGATTTAGCTAATTAAGCAATGGCTGAAGCCCAATTCAAACCACTGTAAGTCTGAAATAGGTCCATTTTGAGCCTAACACTGATTGCGTACCTTATTATTTATTAATTTACATATCACATATATAACAAAGTGGCTTCTGAGCAATTTACAACTACAAAATCAATCCATAATTCAAATACACAATAATATGAAAACTTCCTTATAAGAGCTGGCATCATCACATCTTGTAGGTCTAGAAGCATATCTACATAGAGTATGTATGACAAGAGGTACTGTTGTTATAAGTAACCATGCCACCTGTCCGCCCACATTACTCTTACTCAAACATGTATTTAGGGAGTAATGCCAGATACTACCCAACAGTGGCAACCATGACAATTTTTATATAAAGTTTTTAGTACCAGAAAAATCTATGCTACAGTTTAATGAAATGTGCCCTTTAAAATGATTAAATAAACTCTGGAAACAGTTTATTTAAGAAATCACCAAATACATAAAATAATTCATGGAAGTAAAGAATTATTTTATGTATCTGGTGATTTCTTGAATTTCTTTGGGATTTAAGCACTCTCAAGTATTTCAAATCTAAACCTTTTGGCAAAATCAAAAACTGGAAGAGGATTTCATTTCAGAACTAGAATTCCATTCTTCCACCTACCCTCAGATTAAATTTAACCAATATTTTGAAATATGTAAATTAACTAAGATGATGTAACATGGCAGTTTCTGAAAACCCACTATCCGAAGTCATGCTTGCATGTTTGTATGAAACAGGGCATCAGGAAAGGATCCTCCATAAGCAAATACCACCCTCCCAATAACTACAGCTACGGCACTAGCTAAAGTATGCAGTGATAATTCTATGGCAGAGCTTTCCAAACGTTTCATGTTAGTGACACACTTTTTAGACATGCATGATTTCGTGACACGGTAATTCAGTTTTACTAGCCAACCAGAGGCTAGACTAACACCTTTCCAGCCCTGGGTGGAATGCGGGAAATGTTCACACCTACACACTGCAGCCAACACACTAACATGTCCTGTGCACAGTTTGGAAAGCTCTATTCTACGGTATCTTCTATCTGAATTCTCTTAAAACTGCTATTTTTGAGAGATGGCTTTCAAACTCCATTTTCAAAGCCTTTCACCTGAATATTCCTAACCACAGTTCATAGTGGTTAATTCTTAACAGGATTATTGTCTCTCAATTTCTTTTTGCTTGCAGCAACCTATCAGCATTACTCTGTTCATCTTCTTTTGCTATAGACATGCTAATTTAAAGTACTAAAGCTTGGTTCTGTTTCCTTTAATACAATATTCTGCGATGGAGAACATGAAAGGTGATTCAACAGTCAATTCTTTTAGTTGCTTATCTGTAATGAACTATAAAATGGACAGAAACTCTTCTTATAGAGCAAGAAGAATATTTATATTAATGTGAAATAATTTACCTTTTGAGTATATTATGGCTCAGTATTTAAGTTATTCATTTTAGAAGACTAGTATAATACAAACAGAGGAACAAAGCAACCACTTTGAAATTTTTCAAGACAGTTCCACTGATGTATCTTTGTTACAATGAAAATGTATAACCTGCAATACAAATTATTAAAACATACTTCAATCTTCATCTGCAGTATGTCACTTTACTACCTACAGGAGCGTATGTGTTAACATTGCAATAGCTAAAACACTAACATTTTTGACTAGTTTAAGTTCCTAAGAACCAAAACAATTCTATTCTATATAAAGCTAAAGAAAAATCTCAGCCTGTTTTCAGCACACAAGAACTGAACACTGCTTCAAACCTTTATTTCCTGCTCTCTTTTTTTAAAAAAAGCAGGCTTCATTTACTTTAAGAGGCAACAAATTGCACAAAAGCAAAGAAAAATGTTTCAACTGCAGCACTTTGTGCCTGGTTTGCATTTAAACCAGCTTCATTTCTGAAGTGTGTTCTGGAAACACATTCTGAGGAAATTCATTGTTCTACTTTCATGTTTTATTGTGTTAAATCTCTCACTGAAATTATAACTCAATTTTGCACTATGTCTGAATATACAAGGAACTGTCAAATCTGCTCCCAGTGAAGGATTACAGCAGTTCTGCTGGTATGGGGCTCTAGTTTCAAATGGCTACCTCCACTACCAGTAGTTCTATTGTCTTCTGCATTGGGCTGTTTGTGTTCACTTTTCACCAAAATCCACCCTAGACCAAGGATGTATATCAAGGAAAGAAATGGCAATAAGCAGCAAGCTCTATAGACAACTAGCTTTAAAGGACATTACTACTAAGATTTAAACAATAAGTATTTTTACATTTAAGTCCTAATGTTTATTTATTTCTTAAGTATATATACCACCTTTCTGCCAAGACATGGAAAGCAGATTACTATTTTAACACTAAAACATATGAATGTTATAATATGAACAGTTGGTCAGGGGTTTGGTGGTGGAAGGGACAGTCCAGATGAAATAGGCACTGATGTTGACTAGCTGCCTCCTTTGCTCTCTTTTTCCTTTCCCCAAGGCAGCTGTGATAATGTCATGGAATAATTGCCTTAAAAACCTGTTAAACAGCAATGTGATATATATTATCCTGATTGGGGGAAAGAACAGGATCCGGTCAGCAGGCCAGATTCTGAACTACCCAACCCCCTGCAGGACACTTTAATAGGTAAGCCAACTTCAGAAACAAAAACTCTTAAATGTGCTTTCAATTCTTTTCCTTCCTTTCTTTGCCACTCAGCTTGAGTTCAGACTGTTGATGCAAAGAAAAATGTTCCTTTGCAACTTGGATTGAACTCAAGTCAGGCTGCAAAGGAAGATTCCTGTAGCCAATACCAGCAGGGTTTGCAATCAGTACAGATCGGATCAGCATGGATGGCAATCTCTGCTTTCAGCAGGAAGAGGCTGCACTCCAGGGCTTCTGATCTGGAACCACACGGTTCTTGGCTTTCATGATGTAAGATAGTTAGGATATATATGTAAGAAAAATGCAAAAGGTGTGCACTCCCCCCCCCACCCTCTGCAGTAAGAAGCAAGAAAACAATTTTCACTGGATACTAGGGGGTGGAGATGGTAACCAAGCCCAGCAAATGCTGAATACTATATTCAGGCGCACATCACCCCCCAACCCAAATATCACAATGAGAAGTAATTCATTACTGTCTGACAATAGAAATTACCATTTTCAAACTATTGCACTTGCCACAATGAAGTTTTAATTTTGCAACTTAAGGCTGCATCTGAACTTTAAAAAAGCAGATTTGTTTAGGAAATATGGAATAAAAAGTTGCATTTTAATGTAAGTTTATTGTTCTAAATTTGCATGCCAGAAATGCATTATACATATCAAAGAGACATTCAAGAGGCCAATACAAGTACAATAATTGCAAACAATATGCACATTTTTCCAAGTGTTATATTGTGGATCTGCAAGTGGTGACAGACTACAGTGGTACTCACCGGAACTTTATTTCCGATAATCTGCATGCAGTGATCAACGGAGAGCAGTAATAAGAGATAAATAAAAAAAGCAGAATTAGTAAGCTGAAGCATTTCACACAAGTAGCCAAGAGCTTAGTAGTTAGTAACTGTTAATGATATTTAATGTTAAAACATAGAATATATTCACAGAGTCATTTCAACAAGCTGAAAAACAAAATACAAACTGAATTACAATTGTGTACTTCCAGAACGTTTTAATATGAAGAAATGGGCTTATTTGGCTAGGGATATGTTATTTATTAGTTCATGCATACACAAGAACTGAAAATGCTTATTTATTAGGCACACATTTAATACCTGCCATCAAAATTAAGCACACTCTTTTGAGTATCGTTTTATAAAAGTGGCATACTGCAGCAAATAACTTAATTTCCAGCAGTACTTTCATTATTTTCCACAAAAATACTGTATTGAGGAGATGCCTGTAATACCAGCATTTTAATTTGGATGGTACTTCACTTGAATTAAAGAAACCCATCTGAATGTTTAAGTGCTTAAATGTAACGCATTAGAGTAATGTTTTTTCCAACATGAAATCTTATGTATTTCTCATCTCAAACTTGGAGTTTGTTTTTAGAACTCTCAGGGTTCGTGACAGGGGACAAGTTATTGCCCTACATCTCCCCTTTGCACTGATGTCCAAGGACATGGGATTGATTGAAGAAAAATATGCAACCCTGAATTGGGACAAACTAGCACTAGACAGTAAATGAATAATTATCTAGCAGGTAGTTATATTCAGCTCTTATGGCACATGCAGATGTATGTTCTACAACAATTATAGAAACATAGTGGCTCCTGTAAGTGGTCCCACCCTCAGTTGCCACAAGTGTGTCTGCAGGATGACCTTGCCCAAAGTGGGGTGGGTGGGTGGGTGGGTGGGTGTCAGTAACAGCTTTTCTAAACAAGTAAGTTGTCTCACTGAAAATTTTTTTTAGGAAGTGGTCTAATTGTTGTAATCTTATGTAAACTGTTTTGTGAAGACCACCTGAAAAGCCGTAGATAAATACCGTAAATAAATTTAATAAAAGTGCAACACAGCTGGCCACAACTGCTGGATAATAATAGAACAGTATTTTGCTATGTACTTAGGCATTCCAACAGTCAATGCAGACAACTGCTATTGCACCAATACTGAGAACTTCGTGGTAGACCTGCCTGCTGCCTCATCAGAAAAGCACAAAGTCACATTACTACGTAGAGAGCATTTCTGGGTAAAGTAATATTTTTGATTTGCAGAAGGCACCAGTTTTATCTTGAATCCTTGATATAAACCAGATTCCCACCTCACCCTATGTTTTAATGCCTTTCATTTCCTAAGAATGAGCCATAGTCAGGTAATAGAAGCAGTGTCAAAATCAGTATGTCTAAAGCAATGCCCAGTTCTCAAGCACCCACTCTAGTATTTTAACTGATTTAAATATTGAGTTATATTCTGAAAACACACCTAGAAACCTTATGGTGCACAGTGGGTAAAATTTATCTGAAAAATAAATTATAATTTCTCCACTTCCTGTATCCCAAATTGTGCTAGCAGGCCAGTAATTTTGGGAATCAGATACCAGCATGGACACTCACCCACACACCCACAATTCAAATAATATTTTCTGCATATAATTGTAGCAATAGGACTGCTCTATTTGGGTATTTTGAAATGTATGAATTGGAGTACAGTGGTACCTTGTGTTATCAACTTAATTCGTTCTGGAGGTCCGTTCTTAACCCAGAGCCATCCTTAACCTGAGGCAGCACTTTCACTAATGGGGCCTCCCACTGCCGCCGCACCACCGGCACACGGTTTCTGTTCTTATCCTGGGGCAAAGTTCTCAACCCGAGGTACTACTTCCAGGTTAGTGGAGTTTGTAAACCGAAGTGTTTGCAACCTGAAGCGTTTGTAACCCGAGATACCACTGTACTGAATTGGCACATAACAGAGACAGGTATGGGAGATAACAGATTAATCAGCATACTTTTTAAAATAAAATCATGCAAACTGTCAAAGTCAGATAAGTGTTATCAGTAAGAGAAGAATGACAACATGCTTCATATAAGGCTGGCTCCAAGTTTAAGGGTCACAGTTAACAGTAATCTGTGCCAGACAGCTGGATTACCCAACTGGGATTGTAGAGGTTGATGGGCAGTGGGATGACAGGTCTTTGAGAGTGGGCTATGTATCTCTTGCACCTTCCCCTCAGGTTTTGAGATGTTTTGTTTCAACTCTGCATATATGTCATTTGGGTGCAATGCAAGGCTAAGTTCTGGTGAGACCCCTTGCTAGCCACATTTGTTTCCCAAAGGCATATAAATTAGTATATGCAAATTGCACTTCCACCCCAAGTTTTTTAAGTATGTAGCAACACGGGGTGGGGTGGGTGTGGCTATTTTAATTTCCACAACACCAAGTATGTAAACATAACTGTAAATAATTAAAATGGTGAGTGGTTCACAGATCCAATCACCCAGCATGGATAGAGAGGGGGGCAAGTGTAATGGGGTGTCAACAGCTGCCCAAGGACCCCTGGTACCAACACCTGTCCTGGCTATCAAAGAAATGTTTTTGAATTCCTTAAGATCAAGGTCACAGTGGAAAATAATGGCAAGTTACTGCACCTCACTGACACGTATTCATTTGTTTTTCAAACAGTACTCTGCTCAGTAAGATGCAGTTTGTGGACAACTTTACAGCTGAGATTTTGCTATAAACATTGCCCCCTCTAGCTACACTTTTCTTGGCCTAGAGTTGGCTGGCAGAGTTTGGTTTAGCACCAAGTTCTGAAAAATGTGTTTGGTATACTAACTATTCTTGTGTACTACTAAAAAATGGTGTGTGCTTTCTCCCTTCTAAAGCAAAGTTGGCATTAAAGTTATTGTACAAAGCACCGCACTTGAAGAAACAGTTGTAGTTATTCATCTCTGCCCACTCCCCTGCCCACCCCCCGGTCAGATAATGTACAGATTTCTTCCAGCTTTCTTTTCTCTCATCTGAAGAGCTGCTGCATATCAGAATGTTACTTATTAGACTTACATTTCAACTACGTGAAGCATATGCTAAGTTTTGATATAACTGGCAGGAAATTAAAAATAAATAAATCTTAAAGTTGGCACACCAAGCTGCTTTACTAATACAGGACAAAAAGCCATGCTACAACCTCTGGAAAAAGTATACCTTTATTATCCAGTGTTCAACATTAACTTTACGATCCTGAGATACATAACCATGCATAATTACCACATGTTTATCCTAATCTGGCCTTTGACATCCAAGATGTATATTTTTAGGACCCACTCTATTCTTGTAATTTGTTTTAGAATGTTTTAATGTTGTATCTTAAATTGTTGTGACCTACTCAGAGCCTAGGGCTTGCTGAACAGAAGGTTGTCTCATGTTATGAGCAGTTTCCAGTTACGAACGGCCCTCCAGAACAGATTAAGTACGTAACACGAGGTACCACTGTATTGTCAGTGCAATAGTATCCATTTGTAGTAAGGTTACTGGTTACTCAGCAACTAAATTACACTCAAACATAGAGCACAGGTACCCACTAAATTTGCAGTTGAACAGGCGAAATAAACTGTAGCACGGAAGACAGTAGCAGTAGATGATCAATTATTCACAGTGGAGCAGGTAAGGGGTCCTTACCCCTAGCCCAGCCCACCACCACCACCACCAATTCCTCCTACAATCCTTAGTAATAATGGCTGCTTTGAATCTTTTCTTCGCTCCCAAGGAGATGAAGAGGTCACAGAATTTGGACTCTATGACTGAGCTGCCATCCACCCCAAACTGACTATTGTAAGAGAAGCTTTGGAGCATATGGGGGTGGGGACAAAAGCAGTGATTTGCAGGTGGCTACCAGTAAGGGACGCGGGTGGCGCTGTGGGTTAAACCACAGAGCCTAGGGCTTGCCAATCAGAAGGTCAGCGGTTCGAATCCCCATGACAGGGTGAACACCCATTGCTTGGTCCCTGCTCCTGCCCACCTAGCAGTTTGAAAGCACATCAAAGTGCAAGTAGATAAATAGGTACCGCTCCGGCGGGAAGGTAAACAGCGTTTCCGTGCGCTGCTCTAGTTCGCCAGAAGCGGCTTAGTCATTCTGGCCACATGACCCAGAAGCTGTACGCCGGTTCCCTTGGCCAATAAAGTGAGATAAGCGCCGCAACCCCAGAGTCGTCCGTGACTGGACCTAATGGTCAGGGGTCCCTTTACCTTTACCCTGGGACCTTAGGGTAAAGGGCAGGTACAAGTAAAATAAATTGGATTCACTAAATTTATCCTGAAAAAACAATATGGTTGATTTACCATAAAAAGGTTAGACTTTAAGGCCACTTAAGTGAACAAAGGATTTTCATCAAGCCTCTCTAGTCCTGGTGTACCCATTATACCTCACTGGCTTATGCACACTTAAGCTTGCTCAACATCCTTAGTTTCAATGTTCACCAGTGAGAGCAAGGAGTAAGGCTACACTGTATAGTTCACTTCTCATGCATTGTATAAGTGTCTCTAAAAATTGGGCATTATATAGTTGTACATGTAAAGGTTTATTCTGGATCAGGAACCCCAACCTTTCAGAGTTCTAGATCCTAGTGAAGTCCCATTCCCATAGTCCTTACTCTCATGTTGGTCAACACAAAGCAAATAATGCCCCAATTAGGATTTTACTGCTATGTAAAAATAAACTTGAATGGTTATATGAATTATTACAACAAAGTAGTATATTAATGCAAGGTTAGGAACACAGTTCTAATTATTATTTAAAGATGATGATCTTTCCCTTACAAATACATCCTAAAAAATAGCTTTAAAACCTTCACATTATTCTTACCAATAATACTTTTAAATCCTGATGAAGTTCAAGCAAAATATTTTCAGTCTATTATCCTATATTTTTGTTTAAATGAAGCTGTGAATTGCACAACTGAATTACATTGAGTAAGATGTAATACCTTCAACTCAGATTTTTAAAGACATGTGTATGAGGCCCGTGTGTCCAATTAACAAAGTGGCTGCAATGTGTATTTTCACTCATAACAGCTGAGATCAACAAATAAAACAAGTTATTTCAAATAAATTTAGTCATGTGTAGTTTAAGTTTGATTGTGTGTGCTGTTACACTGCCTCAACTTTGGAATTCTCTCCATTCTGCTCCACATTTATACACAAATTGGGCAAACACAAATATAATCTCATTTACTACTTCATTTTAATACATGATTATTCATGCACTGTTATCTGCATTTTGCACTCTGATTTAGTTATGTAGAATGATTATATTTCTGCCTTTAGGTATTTGAAAAATAGTACTGAATATGCAAGCTTGGGTTTCCCAAAGCACTTTACTATAAACAATAACTTGAATACAAAACTGGGAAAAGATTCATTGGAATTTCAAAGTAAAACCGTGCACATCATGTAATTCTACTGAAATAAGGCTAGTGGCAAATTTCACTTATCACTTGGAAACATATTTCTGCCCTTGGATACCCAGGCAAATTAGAAAGCATGCAGCTAGTATGTCTGGATAGTGCTACAATGTGTGACTTAAGTTGACATTCAGCAGCTTGTAAAGGAGTGCCACAAGAGCTGAAGGAACAAATGGATTAGACGTTAACTTCAGGTGGATCTCGGCAACTGCTATGTATTGTGAATGTTTTCATTAAAAGAAAGCGAGGAAGTGATCAAGAGACATGCATGAAGACATGCATAAAATCTCTTTAACATTGGATTAAACCTAAAATCCTAAATAGTTTTACTCAAAAGCAATCTCTGTTCACTCACTTCTAAGTAACATTTAAGGATAAAGGTGTCTGTCACATGTATATTCAAAAATGTTTTAAATGGATACTGTGAAAATGATAAATTCATGCATCCTTTTATTTTCCTATTAAAAGAACAAGCCGGTAAACCACAGATGGAAATCTTCAGACCATCAGACCTCCTCATTTGGGCACAAAATCCAGTTCAGCTAAGCACCTGGCCTACATGACATACAACATCAGGTGTTCAGCAGGTAAAAACCTGGATCAGCCAAAGTGGTTTGCAGGCCCAATCAACAAGCTGTTCAGGGCACCTGCAAATATCTGCACAAAGGACTTCACATGACCCAACAATCTCCTGCTTGTTGGGTCCTGAAAACTCCCTTGCAGAACATTCTACAGTGGGGTCTTGCACAGCATTCAGCTGATTGCCACAGAGAACTCAACAAAATGTGTGGGCAAAAAAAGTTAGATTAGGTAATGTCATTGTGATTAACAGGTGTGTGACCTCAACTGCCTGTCATATTTGGTCCATGGGTGTGGGTGTGTGAAAACAATCTGGTCCACTGTAGCTCCGCCAGCTCTGAGGTAGACAACGATCAGCGGAGAAATATACCTAGTGGGGGGAAATGCTTCCTCACTTGTCCATTAACGGAGAACTTCAGCATCATAAGACTTCACCTTAAAAAAAATTAAGAGTTCTTTGTATGCTCATTGAAAGTCAACATTCATTGAACATACAAATATGGTATTCTTATGAAGACACTTAAACTGTCCCACTTTCAGACTTGGAATGTGACACTGTGCCCATTTCAAAGCCTAGAAGAGCAGATTACCTAACAAACTATACATATTGTCCCATGAAAAGCAACGGGTTATTTCACGGGAAGGAAAGCTGCAAAGAAGAATTCAACAACCTCAATCTAGGTCACTAAAGTGATGTTTTATTATTATTATTATCATCATCATCATCATCAGGTGTTTATTATTTCCCACTACTTCTGCAATTAGAATCACTGGTTAGGTTTCAAAGAACCCTTTATGTATGTATATGAGTGCAGGGAGGTAGTTATTGTGTTGTTTGCTATGTTATTATGTTTGTGTTTTTATACTGTAAACTGCTCTGTGATTCTTGGATAAAGGGTGGTATATAAATTTAATTAATTAATAGTAACAACAATAATAATAATAAAGCAAGCAAAAGTCATTTTTCACAATAGTTCCTTGCTACATCAAATAATTTAGTGAAGCTGTCCTAATAGGCTGTATATGGGACTGCCCTTTGAATGAATCAATTTGAAAGCCAGAAACTAGGACAGTCAACCAGTACCAAAGAACATGGTTTGAAACTAGGATACTTTTACACCTTGTTTTCAAATTACTATCAGCATCTCCCACATTTGTGGCATTTACTGTGTAAGTGATACTGAGAAAAGCCCTAATGATTATTCTGGAGCAGTGGATTTAGGATACTTAATGGTTTACAGTAAAGACAGCATCATGTTTTAGATTACCAAGCAGTTGTGAAATATGTAATACATTCTAATTAAGGCTTTTATCCATCGTTGAAGGCATTTTAAAGGATTTTATGAAGAAAGCTTTGTAAGCACTCTAGGAAGGATAAACTGAAGCAGGAATCTGAAGATTTGAGTTGAAACTGCAGATGATGTTAAGAGTATTAGTCTGACCTATCTTTGAGGGTGGGAGACTTCCTACTTACAGATTTGGCAGTTGCAGAAATGTACTGGACAACCATCTCACGTTTTGTGGTCAAGTCCTTATTCCGTAAAGGAGCTTTTCGTTCTTCATTCAGGTTCATGTCTTCCTGCAAGTAAATAATCATAACATTGCCAGGATTGGATTAATATTTCATAGTTTCAGTTAATCTTCATGAGTACAGATGCTAAGAATTGCTCCATGAAAGGAGGGATGACTGGTTTACTCTAGACAGGTTATTTCACATCATCATCCTAAGCTATCTGTTTATATGAACAACATTAATGCACAATTTCCAGCATGCTCATATACACACATGCTCAATGCTAAGCAACAGAATGCAACAAGTCCAGTAGTGCAGTTAACTGCCCAAGTAATAATTTGGGGTCTAACTCTTCACTCACATCTCAGTAAAACAAAATAAACTATGTTTTAATGTGAGCATGCAGTGCCCTGGTGCACACAGCTGGAATTTTGGCCATTTCACTCCTCTCTTGGTGCACCTATGAGGAAACAGGTTAGAGTCTGGTTTGTTATGTGGAAACCCAAACTTATATTTAGTTTCTCAAAAAGACCACAAGTAGTAAGCAATTTTTAAAAAAATGACTTACCACTTGTGTGGAGAAAAAAGAAACTACAAGCCCAGGTTCAAATGCAGTAACAACCTTAATTCTGGTCTGTTTCTTCCCTGGCAACAAAATATCAGGAGCAGAGAAGGTCCCATGGTTTCATCAGTGTGCATCAGCACATTCACATTAAAACACAGCTTATTTTAACTATTTTAAAATGTTTCATGTAAACCAGGCCATATACAAACATCCTTCCATGATAACATTCCAGGTAAGGAAGCAAGCAATGACCTTGAGAAAGACACTGAGAAAAGTCTCTCTATGATGACAATAGCTTTCCGAACCGTAATCTGCATATACTGTTCATTCATTAGGCATCTCCACCACACTACAACTCCTGGCCACTGATTTATCTCAAAAAAAAAATCAAAAAAAAATTGGGGTAACATCCCCATGGCAACTGAAACGTGCCTTCCAGTCCTCTATCCAAGACAATCAAATTAAAATGTATGTTGAAATATTCACACACTAATCTATCTCCTTCTCATTCACTATTTAATTAGTGTCTGCATTGGTCTTGGAGCAAGGATTAACCGTTTTGCTCAGAAGCTCAATAACAGAGTTACGACAACTGATAACACAGAAGTCTAATTTTATGTATTGTTCACAATACAAACACATGCTTGTCAAGCAAAAAGCTTACCATCATTTTTTCAAACAAATCCATAACTTCTTTTTCTGATAAATTCATTGAACGTTCATCAAATAGTGGCTGAGCCACTGGCAATTCATTTATAGAAGCCTGGGAGTCAATGGGGTGCTGAATGAGAAGTTTCTCCTTTTTGACGCCCGATTTCCTAAAACTGGTTATTCTGTCACGCTGCAGAAAGAACACAAATACTTTCTATTAGGGGTAACATATAAGAGAAAATCATTTACTTCCACTTTGCATGCTAAAATTAATAATCATGCTGAAGATAATTAAGCCATACAGCTACAATTCTGAGACTGTACTTCAGAGCTTTGTTTTGCCTAATCGTGGGGTGTACTCCCCTTTAAAATGCAATATTTCTGCACAGAATATAATGTACAATTTGTCTATTTAAATCAGATGCAATTTTAGTCCAAATAATGTGGTGCATAGCATCACTTGCCCTAAAACAGGGCAATGTGTAGTCTTTTAAGTTCTGAGTCTCAAAATTCTCAACCAAGATAGCTCAAAATAGCTCAGAATTTGGTTTAAGAAAAAGTGAAATCTAATTCTGTAGAAGTCAGACAAGTAGAGAAAATATGCTCATTTTGTATAAAAGTATTTTGCTACCAATCAGGAAAATCTGGATCTGACTGGGATTTCAGAAGATATTACCCATCCTTTTTGAACCGTATTCTCCCCCCCCCCCCAGCCTTTAATGCTAGAAATCACCATGTAAGGATGAATTTCCAAAACTAAACTCTATGCTTGTGTTCACAGATTTGTAATGTATACAGCTCTATCTATATAGGTAAGCATTCAAAGTCTTCAGGTAATATCCAGTTCTCAACTTCATACCAGAGGACGGCTGAACTGGATATATCCAAAATGGCAGAGCCATGGTTTACTTAATTATGTTCATGAGAGGCTTGGATCAAAACATCTTAAAAGTCACTCTAGGTTTAAGTACAGTCTCTTTTTTAGGATTCATCAGACAAACAAGTTAGCTGTTATATTGCTTCAAGATCTTTTACAAGCATTAGCTGAAGGGAACGTTAAGCAGCACAGAATTGTCAGTAAAATGGTTTAGTAGATTTCTTCTCTGTGCAAGTACTGCATGCAAGCTTGCATATTCAACAGCCACTACTTCTCCTACTGGATGGTCTTACAGGAAGCATGGGACAAAGTTTTGCTTAAAATGAATTAACTGGATACAACCCAGTTATGTGAGAGATGGGTAATATTGGAGCTCTACAGGAAATGCTTTACACCCTTGTTCTTCATGCACATAAAATGCAAAATTACAGTGACAGTCTATTTCTTCAAAGAATAGAATAATTTGTAATATCCATTATAATGGATGTGTTCTTTAGCATACTTTAATAACACTTATTAAATATTCATTATAATGGACGTTACCTGTGGCAAATATATCATGAGTGATATAGACAGCAGGCGTTTGTGGCACATTTTGATAGGAGCTATAGAGCTCATATACAAAAAGAAAGGCTAAAGTCAGGCACCTTAGCAGGCTATAAGTTAGATGCAAATACCACATCAAGGGATAGAGAGGGAAATGCTACCTCAAACTCTGGACTTGACTTGTAATGCACTTGCCAAAATGATTGGCCACCACTGCTCTGAAGTGTTACAGGGTGCCACATGTCATATTACTAATGAAAGAGACAGGATTCACATCTACATCTGAAAGTCTTTGCCAGCATCAGGGTTAAAAGGATTAAAATCAGGGAAGTATCAGGGGAAATAGTTATTTAAAACCAAATAGGCAAGAGATAGCTTTTCCAAAGTTTGTTCCCTTATAGCAAGAACAGTGAACCTATGGCCTTTCAGGTGTTGCTGGAGCATAACCCCCTTAATCTCTAGACACTGGTAATGCTGACTGGAGCTGATGGGAGTCAGGAGTCCAACATGTAAAGGGCAAACAGCTTCCTCAGTCTTTCCTTACATGGTGGAACACTTCACAATATTCATTTCCTACTGGTCATAATTACTCTTATGCAGCAGAAGCAGCATGCACTAGAAAGAAACACAAACCCAGCATGTAAGACTCTTACCATATCATCTGCCAAAGTTTTTATCTGAAGATTCTAGTTAATTTTTTAAAAAAAGAAGAAAAGAAAACAGTATATTACCCAACATACCTTTTGAAATTAACATGAAGTTCCCAAAGCTTATTTTTTACTTGTTTCTAAAGCTTTTTTCATTATTTTCTCACAAAATGCTTCCATACCAGGTATGACGCATTTAAAGCCAGCACTACCAAATTTTATTTTGACTGTATGTTACTAGTATACCATATCACTTCAACCTCATTTTGACATTACTGTATTATTGTCAAAAAAAAAAGAGAAATTGGGTGTTGGGTGTTAACAGAGAAAAATAAATAGCATCTAATACAACATTACATTGGTCTGAACACACAGCAAAATATTTATACACAATACAGGACAGTCTTTGACTAAATAAATAAACTGCTTAGGCAGCACTGTGGTTCACACCTTTTTAGTCACCAAACAAAGCTTTGTTCAAAAAGTTTGAAGAAAACCTCTGAACTATATGATACTCTAAATATATTACAAGTGACAAAGACAAGGACAATCTTCTAGCCAGTCCTTGTTATAGGTTTGTCTAAGGAGCTTTCTGGCTGGGTTGGTTGACAGTGAGAAAGAAGATGATATTATGAGCTGTGTGAAGCTTTTCCTATCCTCATCAGAAGGCTTTCATTTCCTGGTAAAACCTTATTTTATTGTTTGAAGAATGGCCCAGAGATTTGCCTTAAGAGAAAATCAGCTTGTGAGGCATGAACAGCATCTTACACACTTTACTTAGTACAGGACATACCAAATGTACAGTCCCTCAAAATATGATGTAGCACTCTTTATACTTATACTTCCAATGATTTATCACAGAAATAAAATGGCTCAAGGCAACTGTGGATCAAGTTATTGTCCCCTTATAGTGCTAATAGAAAGACGGACATTATCTTAATACAGTGGTAAAGGTAAAGGGACCCCTGATCATTAGGTCCAGTCGTGGCCGATTCTGGGGTTGCGGTGCTCATCTCGCTTTACTGGCTGAGGGAGCCGGCGTACAGCTTCCGGGTCATGTGGCCAGCATGACTAAGCCGCTTCTGGTGAACCAGAGTACTAAATTCGTTCCGGAGGTCCGATCTTAAGCTGATACTGTTCTTAACCTGAAACACCACTTTAGCTAATGCGGGCTCCCGCTGCTGCCGCGCCACCGGAGCACAATTTCTGTTCTCATCCTGAAGCAAAGTTCTTAACCCGAGGTACTATTTCTGGGTTAGCGGAGTCTGTAACCTGAAGCATATGTAACCTCAAGCGTATGTAACCTGAGGTACCACTACATAATAATAAATGTTATTTATACCCCGCCCTCCCCAGCCAACACCGGGCTCAGGGCAGCTAACACCCGATATAAAAACAAATTGATTGAGATACAACTTGAAAAACAAGATTAAAATACAACATTAAAACGCAGCCTAATTTCAATGGAAACTCAAATCAAAAACTTTTGGGGGGATGAAAACGTCAAGTCTTCACCAAGGCTAACTATCCAAACTGGTCCTACACGGGCCAGAAAAAAGCCAGGGAAGTCCCCAAATAGGAATTCCATCACAGGAGGAGAAAGGAAAAAAGAAAGAAAGAGGGGGAGGGAATCAAATTTATTCCAAGCCAAAGACCAGGCAGAACAGCTCTGTCTTACAGGCCCTGCAGAAAGAAATCAGATCCTGCAGGGCCCTGGTCTCATGAGACAGAGTGTTCCACCAGGCCAGAGCCAGTGTTGAAAAGGCCCGGCTCTGGTTGAGGCTAATCTGACTTTCTTAGGGCCCGGGACCTCTAGGGTGTTGCTATTTATGGACCTTAAGGTCCTCCGTGGGGTATACCGGGAGAGGTGGTCCCGTAGGTACGAGGGTCCTAAGGTGTGAAGGGCTTTAAAGCAGTGTTTCCCAACCTTTTTTGGGCAAAGGCACACTTGTTTCATGAAAAAAATCTCGAGGCACACCACCATTACAGCCCCGTGACGTCAGCGCGCAGCGTCACGCCGGGAGGGACATGAATTGCTAGCAAATTACATAATCACCTCCTTGAGGGCTGGCTCATCTTCTCCGAAGGCAGAACCCCATTAATTAACAGCACAGACTCACACCATAGCCAAGACGAGGGGGGAAAACCTCAGTCATGCACAGTCATGCACATGTGGGGGCTAAATGAGGACGAAGACCGGGCAGAGAGCAGGGTTCAAATCACCCCACCTGGCCAGGACAATCCCTGGGTGCTCCCTTGGGCCACTCGCCTGACCCACCTCGCAGGGCTGTTGTTGCGAGGATAACACGGGGAGAACCACGCGCGCCCCCGGGAGCTCCTTGGAGGAGAAAGCGGGCGATGAATGCAATGCACGAAATATATGAGAGGCGACCAGGTTTTGCAGGTGAGGGGCCCCCGCCAGCCTCCGCTTCCAACACTCGGCGCAACGACGCCGAAGTTTCCCCCCAGGCTCGGCTCGGGGAGCAGCGCTGCTCCCCCCCGGCTCCCCTTCGCCCTCCCAGCTCTCTCTGCCACCCACTGGGGACCCCCCTCACCTGCCAAGTCCGGAGCGCCGGTGGAAGTTGCATGCATGCATGCAGGGCGCCGTGTTGCCATTGCATTGCACTGCACTCCATGCAACGCCTGCACGCATGCATTGCCTTGCACGCACGCCAAGGGGTCTCCCCGCGGTCCGATGCGTCCCCTCCGGCGCGGATGCAGCATTGCAAAAATAAAAAAACCCCGACGCAACCCTACCTGGGGGGCAGCCTCCGCCTCCGCCGCTCCGCCTCCGCGGGGATCCCCGGGCTCCATCCTGCCGCCCGATCTCCGGGGGGCGCAGGCAGGCTGCGCGGGGTCTGCGCGGAAGAGCCCCTGCCCACCCGGCCGCCGCCGCTGCGCTCATTCCACGGCCGGGAGAAGAGCGCTTCAAACAAAACGCCCGGCCCGCCAGGCCACGCTGGGAAACGTAGTTCGCGCACCCCGCGCGGGCGCGGAGCCCAAGGGCGAGGGGACTACGGATCCCGGCAGCCCCCGCGCCGGGGACGGAGGGGGAGAGGCCGGGTGCAGGGATGGAGGGACGGTTGGGCGAGCGAGTGAGTGAGTGGCAGCCGCCAAGCCTTGGCCGAGAGCCAGGAAGGGCCTCCCCGGAGGAGGAGGAGGAGGGAGGCGCAGAGCAGGAGGGAGGGAGGGAAGCCCAGGGGTCATCTAGTGACAGCGCCCCAATCGAAAATTTGACTTAAAAAAAAAATCTTTCAATTTTTTAATTTTTCCCGCGGCACACCAGGCAACATCTCGCGGCACACTAGTGTGCCGCGGAACAGTGGTTGGGAAACACTGCTTTAAAGGTCAAAACCAGTACCTTAAATCTGACCCTGGACTCCATCGGGAGCCAGTGCAGCTGGAAAAGCACTGGGTGAATAAGCTCCCATGGCAGAGACCCCGTGAGGAGCCTCGCTGCAGCATTCTGCACCCACTGGAGTTTCTGGGACAGCTTCAAGGGCAGAATTACAGTAGTCAAGCCTGGAGGTGACCGTCGCATGGATCACTGTGGCCAGGTTGGGGCAGGAAAGGTAAGGGACCTATTTTTTTACAGCGTTATTCTGGATAAAACTTATTGGCCTTTTGGCTAACATCAAGTGTAATATACTGTACTAGGTTTATTATATGAGGTACTTTAGTTCACTTAGTGTTGTTTTACTTGGTTCTCTCTCTCTTACAGACACACTAAAGTATATAAGGATTGACACATTTTGGAATTAGATTCTTCTCTCCCACATTATAGCCCTGAACTCAAAATTCATTACATACACATACACTCAACACTACTTTTTCATATAACAGTTTAGATCTAACTATGGAACTCATGCTGTATTCTAATTATCCTAAGTGTACTCACCAATAGACACATGTCACTAAATTTTGCTTGTTACTGCCAAGTAAATCATTTAAGCAACTGGTTTTAATGTGCTTTATACACTAATTTAAAGTGTAAAAATATTGATACTTCACTTTTAGGTCTATTGCAAACAAGGACCAAAGCTATTACAACTCGTGTTTCCTTATTTTTAACAATGACCAAATAACTTATCCAATGACAAAACAAGTCTTTAGTGTTCAATCAATGATACCATGTGAAAGTATACATGTCAAGCTGTTACCAGTCAATTATTGCAGTTAGTGTCCCTGAAGTATATCTTTTACTGATGTTTAGCTCCATTAACAGTCTGAACTCTAATCTTCCTGTAATGGCAGAATTGATATGAGGAACTTGGGACTAAAATTCATCTTACTGACAAGACTACAAAGTTTCTGAAAAACGTATGATCCCAAACTATTCAGAAAACTGAATATTTATATGGGCAGGAATAGTTTGCCTATTGTAATTCATTTCTCTAAGGCAGCCAGCCCCAACCTTGGGTCCCCAGATGTTGTTGGACTACAACTCACATCATTCCTGACCACTGGCCCTGCTACCTAGGGATGATGAGAAAGGCTGCTATAAAGAGTACATCCTTAATAACCAAAAAGCAACTGCATTATTTCAACACTGTCCAGTTTGGAAAAAAACTCTAAAAACAGCCACACAAAAATCGCCTGCACCCCAGTTTTGGCATATTTTTATTGAAACTTTTCATCATACAATACACTGGTACCTCCGGTTGCACACGGGATCCGTTCTGGAGCTCCAGTTGGATCCCAAGGTGTGCATATCCGGAGGTGCCGCTTCTGCGCATGCGTGCAGTACGCTTCTGCGCATCACAAAACCCAGAAAAATACTTTCTGGTTTGCTGCGCACATATCCCAAAGGATACGGAACTAGAGGTGAACATAAGTAGAGGTACTATAAATAAAAATAAAAAAGGAAAGGAAAAGAGAAAGAAAAAGAAAAATACAAAGCCCTCTCTCAAAAGTAGATCTTAACCCTTGTCTCACACAGAAGAGGGTGGATCCTCCCAGCTCTCACCTGGGAGCTTCCGTTTCTTCTCCCAACCTCTTATCCTGGAAGATATTCCCTTTTCTGAGTCTCACACAGCGCT